AACAAAACCATTATACCCTGATTTCCCATTTTCAATGGGTTCAGGGTATAATGAAAAAGAGCGCACGAGCACAAGGAAAGCGAGAGCGGCATAACGGCTGATTAAGCGTCGCGTGGCCAGCGCCTATACCCTTACCGAAGATATTAGAACTAGAGATGAACAACAGAACTACTCAATTGACACGATACGCTGTATTTGTATACTTAAATACGCGCATATGTATATCGATATAAAAATATTTTGTATATATGTATCTTTTTACTTTTTATATGTTATTTTAAAAAGTGAATTGCCACCTACAAAAGTATACAGTACTTGAATGGAAAAAGTTTCCTGCGGAAATTTATTATATGTACATACATACATACATACATAATTATGACCTAGTATGCTATTTTATTAAATGCCTGAAAGGGTATTTTTTTTGTCGACTTCTCGTAAACAACTTCCTTATAGTTAAAAGTTGCAATATTTTATTTTGGGCATAGTCTATACATGCATGCACATGTATGTATGCATGTAGGAGCGCGCCTGCATATGTATTAATATATGCATATGTATGTATGTATGTATGTACGTGCTTACACCTTCATTTTGGCTATCTGCTGGCCCGACAAGCCCCCACTCCCTACCGTTAGCCGTGCCTTTCTTTCTGTGCTGCTGGCGCGTGCATGTGGGGACACATGTATGTACATACAGGCATATGTACATATGTATATGCATGTCTGTATGTACATATATAAGAATTCGGCTAGCGGTCAAATGCGTTGTTTTTCTTGCTGGCCTTTTTTATGTACTTACGTACCTGCACATACATACATACATATATATATATAGACTCTTGCATGCATGTGTGCGTGCATATATACTGACCTGTGCTGGTGTTTGTGTGCGCAATTAACCAAAGCGAAATGCAGCACAAATGATTCAGACGCAGCCTCAGGCACACTTTGTCAGATAATACATATGTACATGCATATGTACATATGTACGTAGATAGCATGTATGTGTATGTGCGCACATTTCTATGTATAATTATGTGCATGTGTGTGTGATTCTGTTCAAAGAGTAGAGCGAATGCACTTGTCATTTGTGTGTTGTATTACTTTGTTTATCGTTCGACTATCAGTGCAAAAAAAAAGTAAAGTAAATAAATAGACTCGCTAAATAACAACAATTGCAATTGTTATGTAGCTAGCGGTTGTTTGTCAGCCAACGGACGCCAGCAAATGCAAATAACAACAAAGTCGAAAACAACTATTACTTGGTATCTGCCAAAGCCATCACAGCAATCTCGATAGGTTTTTGCGGCCAATAAATAATCGCCAGACGGCCACGTTTTCAATGAAAGCCTACTACGTTTGTTGTTTTGTTTGTTTTTGTTTTGTTTACTCGTTCACTAAACAAAGAGAAGTATGTATATGCGATTTACAGCTTATTCCGATCTGCACCTAAAAGTCTGGGCATCTATTAAATCTAAATTTAAGCAGTTCATGTTTTAATTTGCAATAAAAAGTGAGCTCATTTATTTTGGAAATATTTTTAAAACATCTCATGACCATTAAAAACTAAAATCAGCTGGTTGAAATAAGCTGTGAAGCACTGCACACATATGTACATATACATACATACATACATAGATATACGACTAGACTAATCAAGTTGTGAATGAGCAAATAAATAAAGCGAATTACATCAGTATGTATGTATGTGTATGTATATGTTTTATGTACATATACATAGATTCAAATATATAAAGTAATATAGCACATTGATATATGTATGTATATAAGTATATTTATTCTGTAGATAATACTTCAGGTTTACAAACTATTTACATACATATACATATGTATATCCAGTAAATACATTGTCTATGGTTTATATATACATATACATAAATAAATGTATTCATTATATATCCCATATTAATTTCCATTTGACTCTGAACTTGTTCAAAGCGACTTACGCCATATATTGATTTGTTTTTGTTCTGATATACACCCTGGAGGTATTCAAAACGGGTATGCATGACTTGATATGCATACATTCAACTCTGTTCATAAAAATAGTATTGCGACTGAGCACTATATTTTGGGCAACCGCATTTAGTGATACACAAAATATTCTTTTTATATTTTCTTCTATAAATTTAGCTGTTTGCTTGTTACAAACCTAGAATCATGTGAGTTTCCGAGATTGAGAAAGAAAAATTACCAAATCTTTTGTCATTCATGTAAATAGAAGTGCGTATATTTACAATAATATTCAAATTGTATAACATGAAGCTAAAATATGTCTAAACACTGGCAGCTGTGATAGGAATATCTAAATGCTTTACATTATATAACGGTATCAATAATTTAGTTGACTGTTTTCTTGTCTCTTCTGGAATTGTCCACTTAGTAGTATTCTTTAACCGATTCGACTGTCAGCTTGATCGCTCTCTGGTATTTGCTTATTTGCTGTAACAATTTTTAAGCAACAGCAATCCGAAAGTTAAATAAAAAGTAAGCGCTATGGGAGGTAAACAACGCGATAATACGATAATGATAGACAGTTCTAAATGCGAAAAAAGAGAAAAATAAATAAATACAAAATACAAATAGAAAATAAACAGTAAAAACGTTGCAGTCGGGCGTTACCGATAGCGGAATACTCATTCACGCCCCATCAACAATTTAGTAGCTAAGTTTAGGTCTAATACTGTAAAAAACTTTGATTTTCTCGATTTTCCACGCCCCTACTGGGCGTAGACACTTCATTTTTGGCCAGCTCATAGAAAAAGTCAACGGTAACTTAAATGTAAAATTTTTTTGCTTACGCTCAAAAAATTAAAAAAATTACAGGGTTTTTTTTTTATGGTCGACGCGGACTAATATGATCATCAACTAACATATAGGAATCCAGGATATCCTATGAAAGATATTGCTATCGTAAGAACTATATGCAAAAATTAGTAATACGATATTTCGTTATGTTCTGTATCATCCCGAAAAAAATAAGAATACACTCTAAAGTATAGATTTTGCGATAAATATAGCAAATTTGTTGTTTCATTCAGATTTCGTTTAATGATATCTCCCAGATTAGAACCGACTATATAGGCAAATGATAACGTGCGCTATTTGGCCTACATAAAGCTATCTAATCTTGCGCATTCTATATATGATGTCAGCCCCATCATATCAATATTAATATGGGGATAAGCTGCCCAATGAGTGAGTGGCTCAGTTATTAGATTCTTTACTCACTGTGCAATAAATAATAGCCGATTCGATAAGAATTTATCAAAATTCTCGGCTCATTGAGTATGTGAAATCTTTGTTTCTGGAAATCGCACTAAATGCAAATGAAGTGTATGACTAGGAGATACCCTGTACCACTGCACGTGGGATATATGTTAAGAAAATGAAAGATTACGGAAATATATGAATGAAAGATGAAATATATGAATACAATATGTATGTATATGTATGTCTAATTATAAATGTATTAATAAATGATATTCGTTTTGAATATTATGTTTATCGCTCAATTTTATTGTGCAACATTTACCACAATATGTAATACATACATATTTATTTTGAATTTGTATATAAAATTTGAATGAATGTTCAAATCCGATGTAGTTTGATTCAGTTTACATTCATTTTGAGATCTATGACTTTAGTCAGACTTTGTAATACTCTAAGACAGCTTCGGTAAATGAAAATGAAATAATTGCTACACGTTTCGGATTTAGACATGAAATAATATTGATCATAATGAATAAAAGATTGTATAAATATGTTGTGTCTTTTATTTTCTGTTATGTTTCCTGATCGCAGGGTACAAAAAAAAATGCCACCAACAACAATTAAGAAATTCGCTAAAAAAAAAATATCTAAGATGTTGAAGTTATTCATTAATTAACCAAAAAGACAGCTAGAATTTATAATTTAAGCAAGTTTCCGATTGATTGTCGCTATTAAAAGCGAGAGCGAGAGAGTGAGACAGTGAGTGTGAGCAAAAGACAGAGAGAGAGAGAGAGAGAGAGGGAACTTTTGCATAACCTGTAAATCAGTCAAGTCATATTTTTAGCCAAAAGCTAAACTCAGCCAAATCGCCATAGCAAGAGGGGGGCACGAGGAAGGGGAGACAAGGCAAACAAAACAGAGATCAGCTGAGAGGAGTCTGCGGCGAAAACCAGCTTTCACATGGCGTAGAAGCGAACCAAGCGCTTCCTGCTAGAACATGTTTTCGAGCCAGATTGGACGTTGGCTCGGCTTTTATTTGGTTTCTAATACATATTCGATTTTGTTATTGCTGTTTTTTCGATTTTGGCCAGTGAGTGAGTGGTTAGGCAATTAGTTGGCTAAGGCCACATTAAGGCTAGACGCGTCGCCAGCTGCGGTTCATTGTGACTTTGAGTCTGAGTTGATTGCACTGTGGTCTGTGATCGCTCTTCCTGGTCGGATTGCTCATCCCCATCTCCCCATCTCCGTCTGTCTTGCAGCGTGCGTCCTTTGGGTGTCCTGTTCCTGGGCCTGTTCAGCTATTGGCTCTATTGGACACGGTGCAGCTATAGAGTGGTGCTCACGCCGCAGCTGCGCGAAAAGCTCGAGTCCTGGCTGCATCGCGCCGTCGACTGGCGCCACAACTCGCCCAGCATGTTCTGCCTGGTCAGCGCCGGCTGCCTGGCCACAATCGCCGTTTTGGGCCACCTGTTGTCCGGCTCCGTGCTGGTGATGACCCTGCTGGTCGTCTCCGCCGTCGTCTCCACCAAATACAACTTTAAGCTTGTACATATCGAACGCAGAGGTGAGTGCAGTCCCGAGCCTATTTTCGTTATTTGCCACATTTTAATCAATTGCGCTTGCAGATTTCCAGTGGTCGGAGCGCATCAACTACAATAATGCCGTGTCCGAGCTGGAGGATGAGTTCCTGCCCGACGTCAACGAATCGAATCTGTTTGTGCTGGAACGGGCCAGCGATGTGGCCACCATTAGCTCACCCACCGACGCGGACGGCCTTGGCGATGGCGACGATGACGATCGCAGCGACGACGTGCCCTCCGAGCTGCTGATACCCGATTGCATACCAGAGATCGATGAGCATTCAACGGACGAGGACGATGAGCTGGTGCCCCTCTCACAGTCCAAGCAAGCTGCGGAAGCACAGCAGCAGCAGCAGCAGCAGCAGCAGCAGCAGCAGCAGCAGCAGCAACAACAAC